TATGTGCTTGCTTATTATATTCCACATTCCGCTCCAGTGATATTTTTGGTTAATTGCCCTATAGGTTTCATCTCTACCAGGATGACCAGCAATCTCTGAATCATGATACTCAAATATTACACGAGGTTATACAGCAATTGGTAAAGTCTAAAGTCACCACTGAATTTTGACAATTCAATTTTGGGCAATTTGACATATGACATATTGGGTTGAGAATTATTGCTTTGCACAGATTGATCTAGAAGATTCTCGAAAAGATCTGCAAAAACAGCTTTAGCGTGATAATAATCATTATGAAATGCTTCCTTGAATTCATCTTCGAGCGAAAGATCAACATTGGCGTCAGTAGACATTATATTCAAAATATTAGAGTGATGCTTTAAAAACTCAGTACGTAAACAATCTGCATCAACCGAGCGAATTTTGAATACGGTTTTTTGCGTTTTATCGGTTTGTGCGACAGTTGCTAATTCACTCAAGAGCCTAATCTCTTTCAAACAACTAGCCCTGGCGGCCTGTGCCCGACGGAGTTTATCAGCCATATTGCGAACAAAATTGGGAAATAAATAGTTCAAAAATTAGCGTGCCTACCTATATAGCAAGCAAAATAAATCACCGTGGATTTTAAACAATCACGAAGTTCAGTGACCCTAAGCAGTTGAATTGTTTTTATAATATTCAGCTCGAGGATCGACCGCAAAAACTCGTCCTTTTACTTATCTATGCTAGCACCTGGGTTTTTACCGATGTGGCTACTAAAGTTGATACCAATGCGAAATATTCACTCAATAACCTGATTATTTTCTGGGAAATGAATGATGAATTATATAAAGAGGTTGCCTAATTTGGCACGAAGGACCTTGAATAGTATTTAGCTCATAATAGGTTTGAAAAATGAACTGTATAAAATGAAGGAAATGTTCAACTTTGCAGTCACTAAACGACTTACCCGGAGTAGAAGTAAGTGTGAAGAGCGGCACAATAATCCGGGACTGGCTGTTCTCAGGGCCCTTGGATGCCAGCGAATGGGCTTTTGGAAGTAGGGAACCGTCACAATTACATGAGTAGATGCACTTTCCCGTGGAATGATAGCGGTGAATTTGGATTTACGAAATAATCGGTCAATCAGCGAATTTGACCTATATGCGGTAAAAGTAGTACTGAATAAAAATTGTCCCGGTACTCACTTGGCCGAGCACACCGGTAGCTTCGCATCGGCGCAGGGTCGCCCAGTGACTTTTTTGTTGAAAATAAATACATTGCCTTCTTGAAATCCATGAAAATAAAAATGAATTCGATAGAAATGCTCATTTTCATGATTACAGCACTCGCAATGCTGAACTCATCAGATCCTCAAGATATAGACTACATAAATCTGCATCTAACTCTCCGAACACGAAATTGTATAATATCTTACCACAAACAGTGAAAAATCTTACAGGTCAAAAATTCAAACGATACATTAAAAATGAACTTTTAGCCAAATGTTACTATAATGATATTGAGTATATAACTAGCCCACCTGCTGCAATTGATCTTAATGTAAAATGAACCGTATTCTTTGTGTCTTGGCCCTATTTTACATCTATATGTTATTGTATTTTATATCTATATATTAGTGTTTTGATGTCTTTTTTTATAACAATTCATTTACAAATTATTGTTTTTATTAGATTCATACATTATTGTATTGTATTGATGTATTGACTTGCTACAAATGTATGTATTTGCATAACGTAGTCAAATAAACGCTATCTATCTATACAGTTTGTTTTGATATTATTGATTAGAGATAGGCAAATACCAAACACTACCAAAGTTTTCTTCTGGTTATGTCTATGGAAAAGTACATGGTTTCCGACTAGATATGATTCACAAAATGTCCATCTTACATGAGCAATGATAAAATATCATCTGCTTTTATAGCGTCGTATAAATCATCTGACCCCTATAATACTAATCTAATACCTAATGAAAACTACATCTATACTAATCTGATACCTTTCAAAAACTACGTACCAACCAAGAAAGCACTGAAAACCTTGATATTCCAGAGCAGGTGATTATTCAAAGTCAACCCAGTCAAGAAAATTTGGGAAGAAATAATCCATCTACGGTACGGAATTTCCATACACTTCGTTATGAATTGCATCATAATATTACCAACCCGCTCCATAAAATTGGGTGGCAATTCAACAAAAATTAAGGACTCATCAATTAACGACTCAGAATAATGAACAAAACCAAGAGAGTACCATTAATAAAAGAAAATAAACAGATTTTCACATAATTTTTACATTAACCAAATGGAAAACTCGAATATGAAATAATATCCCCGCATTGAGGCCTCATTCTTTCATAAACAATATCCAATAGATATAAATTGCCAGGGAATTCTCCAAACTTTTTATTTCATTAGTGTGATTGCCAATTTGTCGACTCGCGAACCAAAAATGGAACAGTTAATGACGTTAGTCAGAGAGTTACCTTCGGATGAGGGTAAATTGAATATAATTCTGATTATTATCAAAAACATAGTTGCAGAAAGTGATTTTTTATACACGGTAACACCGTATAGCCGTTCCAACCATCACCAGTGGGTGATAAATTGGTTGCACCTGAGATTGTTTCACCTGGAGCTCAGAAGAACTGCACTGGTCCTCCGGGTGCCTCCTCCATGCCCTTGTGTATGGTGCCTCCGAGGGGTGAGAACTGCGACAACAGCAGGGCGATCCAACTCCCCACCACCACCCTATGAGCACGAAAACATCGCCCCAGGTGTTGGGCCTATGATACCTCAAAGGCCACCCCTGAACCGTTCTGTGCCATACCCGGTACCTAACCCAGGACAGCGAGAGGACCATCCATTGAACCAGCCTGGATCTACCCAAGAAGCCCAGGGGTCAAACACCCCGACCGAGCGATGGGTTTATCAAATGGGACGTAACCTGAAGGTTACCATTAAACGTCAACTGAGTGAGTGATTTGATTTTATAGATATAGGTTTCGTTAGACTATACGCACATGTAATTATCGTTATTTCATAATTTACCAGAGTAGAGATAAGTATTCGAAGCAATATATAGATATTGGAAATTGTCTAAAATTTTCGTAGGTAGTAGTATAGTGTGGGAAAGTGAAAAAAAAAGGATCAAGGTCAAAGTATAATGCAATAATTTCAATTTATGATAGAAACCTAGTTATATTATTCAGGTATAGGAATTTTGCATGAACGACTCTATATATTTATCGTAAGAGAGGTCTGCAGGTACCTACCAAAGATCATTCAAGTATCTCATTCATTTTATTTGTTGATACTATAATTCATTGGGTCACAACTTTATACAAATAATTTCGAGAATTTTGTAAGATGCTCTTGATGTTTCATGGGTGAAGTTCACGTAATAATAGCGCTAGAAAGAAATACAGATCATAATCTATATATAGCAACGAAATTCATATGTTAAAATATGGAATTTCGTCTACGAGGGATGGATCGAATGTAATGAACGCGAAGACTCGACCAAAAATATCATAAAGAATACTAATGCTAGACACTTTACACTTATAGGATGTAGAAGGTCGTTTTAATTAGGTCAATAAATATTTAGGTATCTGAACTCGAATGCATTCAATAAGTATTAGAAGGATAGATTGATAGAGCAATATTATTCCGTGAATTAACTCTTGTTGGAAATATGAATATTTTAGAAAAGAGTGTACAGGGAATTTATAACCTAAGTAACTGAGCCACAGCAGAGGAGCGGGTCAAAGATAGGTAGAGTCCAGATGAATTATTACAAAAATCAATTAGTTTAAAATCTTTTCAGATGAACATTGAAATCTGTTTTCTGTACTTAATTATAAGTAATACCCAAGGTCAACTCACATCGATTTTTGCAAAATGATTAATGATAAAATTCCATTACATTTAAAACTATTTCTGAAAACATCCGAAGCCTCTCTTTTTGCACTTTAATCCGAGGTCAATTCAACTAAGCGAAAATCTAATGAATTCTGATTGAATTTATGACCAAATCTCAGTATAAAAGCAGGGAATTTTGGAATAAAAGTCAGTCTTGATCGAACTCTTGATACGAAGTCTCATGTCTTGAACCAGTAACTCTGCTTAACAGTCTAGTTATACGTGATATGTAGTTGATATTAGAAATTGCTTAAAAATCTGTACCTAGTGAACATATTGTGTTGCTGCAATAGATGTGTATCGAGAATTATTGAACTTCTATAAAACTGTATTAACTTTTCAAAGTGACCCGGTATAATAGTGCGAGTGTGCATCATCCTGTCATCATGTATAACCAACCAATATTATGTAAGCATATCTGTTTTACCTCCATGTCAACTCTGCCTGTCCATATTATGATGATTGCTGAATAGAGATTTATGTACTTTGAACTGCCGTATTAATGTCTATATCCACCAATCTTACTCCTGCCTAAGTATTCACGAACCCAGTGAATCAGTAACTTTGTGAAGACCCCTGTGTAGGCCAACCCAAGCAAAGGGGTGCTTTACAGTACGATAGTCTGGCTTTCCAAAAAAGCGTTTCTTCGTTACAATATGAAAAAATGTGCCGTCCTTTGAGGTAATCATGTGAAGAATCATGCTGTCAGAAAATAATTCCTTGCGAAATCGTATGGTAAACTCCACACGAAAAAAAGAGATTTTTAGAAAATATTTGTTTTCGATAATTTTGCAAAAATCACGGGTTTCATGAGTTTCCAATTTTTTTGATCCCTGCCACAACATAATTTGGGAATTTTCAGGTTACTGATGCCAATTTCCTCAATGAAATCTCTCAATCCTCCTTCGACGAAGAGATAGGCGAATCCCCCCGGCCTCTGATTTTGGCGGAGGAGCTGTTCAACTCTGCCGTACCGTCGCCTAAAAATCAAATGTTATTTTAGGCAATCGAAATGGATATACAACACTCACTTGAAGCCTAGTGCAATTCCTTTGGACATTTTGAATGTTTTTAGGGCCAAGTTCTTCTAGAGAAAAATACAAATATTGATGAAACTAACAATGCTACCTGCAGCAAATTTGGAAATGAAAATATTTGTGATGAGGAGGATGATATTTTTTCAATTGATGTCCAAGGGAAAGACTTTGATAGTGACGACAGTGTGAGGGACAGAGATTATTTTCCATCAGATGCAAGTTCAGATGATGAAGCTGAAAGAACTGAAATCAGCAAGGATCTTAATGAAGAGGTGATTGAACAACTCAAACACAACAGGGATGAGGCAATTGAGGACGAGACTGAGGAATCTAAAAGTAATGATGTTGAAGATACTCCCAAGAAGTTGGTGAGGAAGAGAATGAGAAATCCAGAATCTTGGAAAAAAAATAAACGCAAGAAGAATAGGAATTTGGGTAAGGAATACCTCACAGTGAAGGGGAAAAAGGTGGCAAGAAAAATGATGGGTGCCACCTGTTCTGAAAAATGTAGGATCAAATGCTCCACAAGATTGAATGATAGTAAAAGGCAGGAGATTTTTGATTATTATTGGAAATTAGGTGATATCAATCTTCAAAGAAACTTTGTGAATAGCTGCATGTCTGAAATAAATCCAACGTATCGTAATTCTAAACCTGGGAGTACTAGATCCAAAAACTACAAGTATTCTTTCCTCATTGATGATGCTGGTGTCCAGGTTTGCAAAACCTTCTTCAAGAATACTCTCGGAATCAATAACAGAACAATATTCACAACCACTAAGAAAAAGGACCATCAAGGCATAATTGAACGAGATAGAAGAGGAACACATACCCAACATAAAAAAATTCCAGACAATATTAAAAGTGATATTTTGAGGCACATTGAATCATTTCCACGGGTGAACTCCCATTATTGTCGATCACGGACAAATAAGGAATATTTGGAAGGAAGTTTGAACATTCGAATAATGTACCGTCTGTATATTCAACAGTGTGAAGATTCTGGAAAAGACTATGCTAAATATGGAACCTATGCACACATATTCAACACTGAAACTAATATAGCTTTTCATGTGCCAAAAAAGGACCAGTGCTATTTATGTGAGAACTACAAAAATGCAACTGAGGAGAGCAAGGTGAATTTACAAGAAAAATATGATAATCATCTGATAGAAAAAACTCAAAGTAGATTGGAGAAAAATCGAGATGTGGAAAACCCTAACAATTCTGTTTATTGTTATGATTTGCAAGCAGTTTTACCTACTCCATGTGGCGATGTTAATGCGTTTTATTATAGAAGCAAATTATCAACCTTGAATTTCACTATTTTTGATTTAAAGAATAAAAGAGGATATTGCTATCTGTGGCATGAAGCTATAGCAAAAAGAGGAGCAAATGAAATATGCAGTTGTGTTTATAAGTTCATAACTGAACACAGGGATAGAAATGATATAATATTCTACTCCGATAATTGTGTTGGCCAGAATAAAAACAAATTTATATTCGGAATGTACCTTTATTGTGTCCAACATTTTGAAGATATTCATTCTATTTCTCATAAGTTCCTCATAGTTGGACACACTCAAAATGAAGGAGATAGTATGCATGCAACTATAGAAAAGGAAAAGAAGAGGATGTTGAAGAGTGGTCCGGTTTACATTCCTGCACAATGGGCGATGATAATTCGCAGTGCAAAAAAACATGGACATCCATACAATCTGGAAGAAATTTCAACCTTTGATCAAGGAAATCAAGGATATTTCAAAAAATTTGTTTCAAAAATTGGGAACAACTTCAACAGAAATGTTGATAATGAAATAGTAGTTTGGAGGGATGTTAAAGTACTCAGATTTGAAAAAGATCATCCATATACAATATTTTATAAAACATCCTATGCAAATAATGATTTCAAACAGATTTGTGTGAAGAAAAAAAACTTAAGAGGTAATAATGCTATCTCTAATCTGGAAATAACTCAAGCTTACACTAATCCCCAATTTCGATAAAAAAGAAAAAACATTTACTGGAAATGTGCAAAGAAAATGTTATTCCTGCTGTGCACTGGCCTTTCTATGAAAGCCTCCAAGAATCGAATGTTAATTCAGAAGCCGAGTCTTGTGATGAAGAAATATAATAAGTAACAACCAATGATATATATTATTCCATACCACAGTTGTTTTTCAGATATTTAGGGACTTGTTCATCAATGACAATAAATATTCTTGAAACCTTTCGACCTGTTACTCTTGTCCTTTGTGATGTATTTTGAATCAATAGTGTAACATGTCTGAACAAATTCACTTTTCACCAAAATTATTCATATTTCCCGAAATTTCTCTATCAGGAATATTAAAAGACACCTTCATCCTATGGTCGGCCCAGCATTCACAATCTCGAACACAAAAACCTGAGATGTAGGATCAAATAAATTTAACTGAAATTTTCAATTGCAATTTTCTCTAAACTATGGATTTTGAGTTGTTACACTATTGAACTGGGGTATCGATATAGTGAATATTATGCCAACTATAGGTTGTTGTATATCAAATGAAAGGTCTCTGCTTGAATTTCACGAAAATCAATTTTTGAAGGGTCCCCAAGGGCCATACAGTGAATATTATGCCAACTATAGGTTGTTGTATATCAAATGAAAGGTCTCTGCTTGAATTTCACGAAAATCAATTTTTGAAGGGTCCCCAAGGGCCATACAGTGAATATTATGCCAACTATAGGTTGTTGTATATCAAATGAAATTTACGGAAATCAAGGGCCTCAAGGGCCATATAGTGAATATTATGCCAACTATAGCTTGTTACCTATCAAATGAAAGGTCTCTGCTTGAAATTTACGAAAATCAACTTTTGAAGAGCCTCAAGGGCCATGTAGTGAATATTATATCAACTATAGCTTGTTACCTATCAAATGAAAGTTCTCTGCTTAAAATTTACGAAAATCAATTTTTGAAGGACCTCAAGGGCCATGTAGTGAATAATATATCAACTATAGCTTGTTACCTATCAAATTAAAGGTATCTGCTTGAATTTCACGAGAATCCATTTTTGAAGGTTATCAAGAGACATATAGTGAATATTATGTCAACTATAGCTTGTTACCTATCAAATGAAAGGTCTCTGCTGGAAATTTACGAAAATCAATTTTTGAAGGGCCTCAAGGGTCATATATTGAATATTATGTTAACTATAGCTAGTTATCTATCAGATGAAAGGTATCTGCTTGAATTTTTCGAAAATCCATCTTTGAAGGGCCTCAAGGGCTATATAGTGAATGATATGTCAACTATAGCTTGATACCTATCAAATGAAAGGTCTCTGCTTGAATTTTACGGAAATCAATTTTTGGAGGCCCTCAAGGGCCATATAGAGAATGTTATGTCGACTATAGCTTGTAATACATCAAATGAAAGTTCTCTGCTTGAATTCTACGGAAATCCATTTTTGAAGGACCTCAAGGGCCATATAGTGAATATTTTGTCAACTATATAGCTTCTTATACCTCAAATGAATGGTATCTGCTTGAATTTTACGGAAATCGATTTTTGAAGGGCTTCAAGGGCCATATAGGAGATGTTATGTCAACTATGGCTTGTTATCGTTTCATTTGAGACTAAAAAAAAAACATGTTGTCGTTCAAACAGATGGAAGTCACGCGGCTACAGGTATGCCACATGCAAGGCGAATCGAAAAACCATGAGACATCAATAATTGAAGAACTATAAGTTGAATCTGCACAACCTAGCTTCTTGTGAAATTCAAAAACTAATAGAAATTGTGAAAGAATACGAAAAAATTATTTCTATGTGAAGTGTAGTTCATTTTCATCTTATATATGAAAGTAAAACTTCCATATAAGGAGTGTGGTGCAAACCATATCAAGAGGTAAACGCAATCATCTTCGATCTCATCGAAAAAATCGCTTCAGGTGTGGTGAATATCGAGACAGTAATATAAATTCGAAAATCATAGCATAATTAGTGAAAAGCAACATAACAGATGAATCGATACGACTAATGATGGTAATTGAGTGGCAGGAACGCAAATGGTCATGAATGTTGTCGGTCAAAGAGGCGAAATACGTAAAAGTCACGAAGAATCTACTTTGTTCGAATGTTTGAAGGTATCTATCCTCTGCATCTTCTATATTATGTTGAATCTCAGGTGTTTTCACATGAAAGAAAACATCGTATACGCAATAATTCGAAACTGTAGGAGCGTAGTGCGATTCGTGACGAAAGATGAAATACTATAGCCACCCATTCGAGAATGCTTTGGATTCTTTCAATTTCAAACATAAGATATCCTCTGAATGATCTTTATTTTTTTGACTAGAAACCTATAGAAATATATATGATAATAGGAACAATATGTAAAATCAGTTCCTTCGATACTGAAACAGCTTGGGAACTATTTTGGCTTCAAAACTGTCTTCTTTTGTAGTATATTTCTTTCACTCTACATTCTTTTCATCGAATTTGATTTTAAACATAAGATATCCTCAAAATGTTGAAAAGCAATATTCTCAGATAAATTATGAACATACAGAAATGGATATATATTTATATTAAGCAATACATTGAGAACTCGCATTCAATAGAAAACAACTATTTTCCTGGATATATACCACGACAAACATTGAATAATATCTATTGAACACACAACGATAAGAGTTTGAAAATAAAATATAAAAACTTCTGAAATTGAGAATTTGCATTCTCCTTCAGACAAAATATGTACATGCACAGATCATTCTGGATATTCAACAGAAAACAACTACTTTCCTGGCACATAGAGAATGCGAATTCTCAATGTATCGCTTTATATTAGAGAATATTCCTTTTCAACACTTTAATACCCAATCAGGGGGTTTCAAACTTGAACGATGGAAACTTGTGATTTTTTTATAGACCTCTGATCACAGATTCGTGATAGAGTCTCAATTCAGAATTTCTTTCCACGCCCTGTATGATGAATGTCAATTCATCATACACCCAAAATCCTCAAAATGATTCATATTTTGTTATAAAAAATGTTAGAGAATATTCCTTTTCAACACTTTAATACCCAATCAGGAGGTTCAAACTTGAACGATGAAAACTTGTGATTTTTTATAGACCTCTAATCGCAGATTCATCATACACCCAAAATCCTCAAAATGATTCATATTTTGTTATAAAAAATGTATTATGTATATATATCTACGGTATGCCGCAAATGTATGGAATAAATCCATTTCAAATTTAGACGACTTTGAAAAAGAATCAAAAAAGTAGAGTTTTGAACTTTTTTAATGGATTTATTTTGACTAGACTACCCTTCGATGTTCAATTCTCGATAGCAGACCTCTTTCAGTTAAACAAATGAGCATTCTTGACTGTTGGATAGACGATAAGTAGTCCTTTCAAATGACGTATCAGATGACCCTTGTTTGTATTTGAAAAAATTATCCATTATGTCATTACTCCAACACCGGTAACTTAACATTTATCAAAACTTCAGTGTTTTTGAAATGTTTTCTAAAGTCGCCCATTCCTGGAATAATGAATTTAATCCATACATTTGCATCATACTATATATATGTGTAAAGAACAAATATTAGCTCCTTTGATGCTGATCTCGGAAACCAATCTTGTGTTGATAAATGTTCTCCTTTCATATGGTAATTTTGTATGTTGTAGATAATCCTAATTAACGATAACTGCATGTGCATTCACTATCAAGTATTACATAATTAGAAACCAAACTTGTCGGGACTAGATAAAGTGTATATAAGGCTCAAAATAAGCTTATTTGCTAAGAAATAGCGAGTGAATTTGTGCGTGCAGATTTATTTCATGTAAGTGTAATACAATACTTGTACTAAGTTTATATAAAAAACAACCTGTTATTGTGAAGTTACTCATTTTTATCGGGAACAGCTGATTTTTTTATATACTTGATTATCATTTTGATCATCGTATTTGATGAGTCATTAATTTGTTTTTCACTTTCCCAATATACATCTACATTTCATGCTTTGATGACTAATTTTTCATATGATTTTCCTTGAACTGGATGTCAACATTTCTATCTATTCCTTACAACGTAATATGGAAAAATTAGTCGAAGATATGTTTAATTTACGAAAAAAAAATACACGACAAGATTCCTTAACATATCCCGTCTTATCATTGTGTATCAAAATGAATTTATTGATTTCGAACCACATTCTTTATGATTGAATAAATTTAACACATATATTCAAGGTCAGAGACGAGAACCTAATGGAAATATCGCAAATATCATAACATGAGTGGAGTGTGGCACACAAAGAAACATTTTTCGAATAATAGCAATGTTCATTTGGTTTTAATCAGATAATTCATTTTCTATTTCAGAGACAATATATAGTGAAAGAACTATCTTTTTTGTGCAGAACAGGATTCGAAATTCCAATTATGTGTTCACTGAGTGCCTATCAAAACCCGAATGTGATTTTATCAGATATATTTTTTTCTGAAATTGCGAGTCGATAATCTTGTGAACATGAGAAATCAAGGAAAAAACATTTTTCTTCATTGATCAAGTTTCATTTTCAAATTTTAAATCATTAGAACTAGAATAATGAGATATATGAGCATAAATCATATCCCATATAATGGAAATTGTTTATCCACAGATGAAAAACTCATCTCCACAACTGTCAATATAATCAAAGATCAAAAAAGAAACATGTTTCGGGCTCACATAAGCCTATCATCAGCCGAAATTAGTGCAAAGTTATGAGAGTTAAAATCCAAATAAAATATATAATAACAGAGCAAACGATCCATGATTGTTTATAACATGTGTTCAAAAAGAAAAAACTTATCGTCAGAGGGTCGGGTTCATATTTTATAAGGGCCCACGTGTCCTTAAATCACCTAAAAGTGGCAATTACCCTAGGAAATATCAAACTCCTGCAAGTAAGATGTGGCTTCGGAAATAACCAGCAACAAAATGGGAAATTGTTA